TCCCGCCCTGCCTGCAGTGGCTCGGGGCTCTGGAGGCTGCCGGGGAGCTGCCCACTGACGGGCCCCGATCCCCGCTTCACACACCCCCATACTCGGGAGGGCAGAAAGGGCCCCTCCCTCCCCCGCTCCTACTCACCTTGCGTCCCTGGTAGGCCTCGAAGGCGCGGAGGGCCGACTCGGTGAGCTTGACGTGGAAGACGGAGACGCGGGTGCCGCGGCCGAGCCGCCCGGACGACAGCGCGTAGCCCCGCTCCGCCAGCGCCGCCATCTTGGGAGCCTCCGGCGGCGGCAGCGGAGGGACCCACGACACGCCCCCTTATCTGTTATGCAGCAGCCTGCCCCTCACCGACACGCCCCTCGGCCGTGGTCATCATGAATGTGCGCGGCCTCCGAGGCCGCAAAGCACGACGGGGAATGTAGTCTTTCCCCCACCCCCAGTGTGCTTTTAAAAAATTTCCCACGAGGAATGTTGCGAGAATGGAACAGGAAAAGTGACACAAAATTACGTGTCAATTGTCATCGTCGCTCGTCGTACTTAACCTGGAATGCCGCAAAGTATACCCGAGAGTGTAGTCTTTTTCAGGCCTCAGGGACATCACACACACGAGAGGTCATTCTGGCTCCCCCAGCTCTCCTAAGGGGCTCTTTAAAGAGTTATGGCTGGCCAGCTGCAACGCTGGTGGTGGGGGGGGCCCGAAACGTTCCCTTGCCTCCCTGAGCCCTGGGGTGGTGGCCTTGGACTTGTAGGGGCAAATTCCACCTCTGACGGCAACGCTCGGACATCACACGAGAGAGGTCATTCTGGCTCTCCCAGCTCTCCTAAGGGGCTCTTTAAAACATTATGGCCGGCGCTGCTGTTCTCGGCGGCAGCTGCAACACTTTATTGCTTTTTCTCATTTGCAAATCTGGCCTCAGCACTCCTTTAACGAGGCAGCCCTGAAGCTTGGGGCGGCGGGAGTGTCTTTGCATGCAGCTTGTGCAGCTGGCTGAGTGCCTCTTCTGCTTGCCCACCTCTCACCTCTGCACCTCATCTTCTGCCAGGCATAGAGGAGCCCAGCTCGCCCAGGCTTCTTGCCTCCTGCTGCCTTGGCCCTCTGGTGCACGGGTGAGTCCCCAAAGTTTGACTCTTCCTCTACAAGTCTCTGGCGCTGGAGGTATTCGTCTCCTTCCCTCCTGCCTGCTATGGCTACATAATTGTGAGAGATTTCTTAACATAGTGTTCCTGCCAGGGAAGCTGGGGATCCTGCCCATGAGTCTCCATTTCATCCTCACAACAACCCTGTGGGGGTAGGTTAGGTAGAGAAGGGGAGATTTGGCCCTGGGTCACTCAGCCAGCAGAGTGAGAATATAAACCTGGGTCTCCCCACATCAATCTGCAACTCTGACCACTGTGCAGTGCTGCCTCTACTGATCTGTAATGCTCCAGAAGTGTTGTAATGTAATACTCAGTTTCTCAAACGAGTGTATGCCTGTCTGTTGGTCCACTTAGGAGTCTTGATCCTGGTTGTGTGGTGGGCTAGTTGTGGCAAATGGTAGTGAAGCTCAGTATTTCTGTATACAGTTGTAGGGGCTTTATTGCAATGTGGTATGACCTGATATTATGTTCTTATTCCAGTGTGGGGTGTGCGGGGGGCAATGGAAGCTGAGTGATAGGGTTTCTCCAAGTGATTGCCAGAAGTGAGATGCGTCCTGGTCTTCTGTCTTACAGATAATCTTACAAATAGTCCTTTGCATTTATATCATGCTTTCAACTTTAAAAGGATCATGATGCTGATTGTGTGAACTTAGGCAAATCACGAGAGGTAG